CGGGGGGGGGGGGGCCAGGCCCCCAACCGCCAAACCAGAGGCCAATATCATAGGGCGGGGTCTCCCCACACTGTGACATGGAAGAAGTATCTCTGCAAACCCCCGCAAGGATACCTGCACAAGAATACGTACAAACCCCAACGTGACCCCGAAATGCTTCAAAACCCTCAACCCTAAACCCTGCCTTAAATGAGCCATAGTCTCAACTCCTCGTATTCCTCTCAGTAACCCCTATAGTAGTCCCCTATGTAATCCCTTCTCTAGATTGTAGCTCATATGCAAGGTCGTTCAAGTCCTCTGCGATTTCGCGGGATCAGCTCTATTGAGGACGTCGGCTATTCCCTCCACACAGCAAGCAGCTGGCTTAGGTTTAGGGCTTAGTGCAATCACTGAGGTGGCTCCAAATGCTATGAAACTCACAGAGCGTTTGAACACAGCAAGCTTGTTGCTAAAACGAAGTCACAGTGTCGTGCACACCTCACAGAGCTTCAGTGGGATGGCTGCCCTAGTCCCAAGAGAGCCCGATACACCTTAAGGAATATTCAGGTATCTCTCATTAATTTAGGGCTATACAAGATTACGCTTTCATCAGGGGATACACGGTCACCCTTCAATCAAAGGATGTTGGGGTCAATCAGTGCTTCATGCACTCAGCATCAGCTTCATGTCAGCACGTCCAGCGTTACCGGGCTATATTGAAGAACCTCAATTAAATTACCATCATGAGGAGGCCCTTTCATTATCTTTTTATCCTACTTGTCGCAATTAAATTATCCATCATGATAACTTAGTTCAAGTCACTTCACAGCAACCTAGGTTGCCTTGAACTTGTTCGAAGCAGCGTAACTCGCCGCTGTGTGGCCATAGATGTTCTTCAGGTCCTCCGCGCACATAACCAGTCAACACGAACCTTTGCGTGCTAGCTTGGGTTTAATTGGGTGTTAGGGTCTAGGGTCTAAGTGAGTCTCTGTCGCACTAAGAGGGCAGAGGCAGATGTTTGAAGGGACCTGCCTTGTTCGGGTTGCTTTTCAGCAACTCCATGACGACAGCAAGATGCCCATGATAGGCTGCATAGTGGAGGGCCTTGGTGGCAAATTGCCCACAAGGTGTAGGGTTTGGGATTTAGGGGTTTAGCATTCACTGGGTTCTTGTTGAAATACCATCCAAAAAGATCTTTTTTTAATTGATATTGGGCCCAGGTATCCATAAAAATGTAAAATTTTGTTCTACAAGAGCCCAGATTCAGGGTTCGAGGTTTCGGGTTTGGTTCAACCCTTGGGACCTTTTACGCCTGCCCGTCACAGGCACAGGGTTTTGCGTTTCATTCCGTCTGAGTGGACACATTACGAAGTTCCTGCACAGCATGAGTCTCGCTCACACTGAACTTCGCAACCACTCACATCACTGCCATTCTGTACTGAGACTCCAGTCCCCGGATTTAGGGCGTAGGGTTGAAGCATTCCATGCTGCAAAATGTTGCAAGCCCCTTGCGAGATGTTCCGTCCCTAATCATTCAACTCTTTACACACCTACCGAGGTGCTATATTCGCCCCCACACCCTTCTGCAGTGCATTTCAATAAGACTCCAGTATGGTTCCTAGAAGAGCCCAATCACTGCCAGCAGCTGGGTTGCTTTTCAGGAACTTACTTAATTGAAGTTACTGTATTGGGGCAACTCTATTAGTTGCTATATATACTACTATGCTGACTTGATTTTAGTTCCTTAACAGCAACCCAGGAAACGCTTGGCGCAGGACCGTGTTGCCATGGTCATCCGCGAGGTCAATGGAGATCTGGGCGCGCAACCAGACAGTGAAAGGGTTTCAGTTTCTTACGCTGCTGATTTTATCGTAGTATATCATGGGGACATAATAGTACATTATTGGATATTATAGTTTATTCTAGTATATTATAGTATATTGGCCGAACATGTACAACCCTGAACTTTTAACATCTCGAGTTCAGGTCCTTGCTGCATTGCTTCCCATCTGAAATGGTAGTTTCCCAAAATAAGGACACCC